TAATTTTCTCTTACAATGTTGAAAACATTATTATATTTTCTTCTAGCTTCCAGGAGCGTTGTTGAAATGTCCAGTGCTGTTTTGAGCCTACATCTTTAGTTTGTACCTCTTGATTCCCATATGATAGCTTTTAGAATCTTTATTCCTTGCGTTCATGATGATGGATCTTACTAAAGCAGTTTCATTCATGTGCTGAGTACTTAATGGGCCCTTTCAATTTAGAACAGGAGTGGCAACTGTTGGCCAGCACTGTTTCTGGGCCAAATCTGGCCCACCACTGTTTTTATAAAGCGTTATCAGAACACAGCCACGCTTATTTACACATTGTGTATGCTGTTTCGCGGCTAAGCTGAATAGTTGTGGTGGAGACTGTATGTGATCTGCAAAGCTTAAAATACCTGCAACCACTTATGGAAAAGGTTTGCCAATTCCCAATTTAGAAAATTAAGAATTTTAATTCTGGTTTAAAAAAGAAGTTTTCTACTTCCCTTTTCTGTGTTCTGTCTTTCTGCAACTCTTGCTATTAGATGCTGAACTTCCTAGATTGTCATGTAAATATTTTTCTCTCCTCTTTTCCATCTGTTTTTCTTTTTGTTTGTTCTTCTGCAGAATTCCCTTAACTTCATTTCCCAAGCTTTCTATCCGTGTTTCATTCCTACTGTAATATTTTTTAACATAAATTCTTCTGATTGTTAAATTAACCTTTTTATTGTAATATAAAACACAGATATTAGTCATGCCCATAATCCCAGCACTTTGGGAGGCCACGGCGGGCAGATCGCTTGAGTCCAGCATGGGCAACGTGGCAAAATCCCATCTCTACAAAAAATATACCGAGCCGGGCATGGTGGCACACACCTGTAGTCCCAGCTACTTTGGAAGCTGAGGCAGGAGGATCACGTGAGCTTAGGAAGTTGAGGCTGCAGTGAGCTGTGATTATTCCACTGCACTCCAGCCTGGGTGGCAGAGCAAGACCTTGTCTAAAAACAACAGCAGCAAAAAAAAAAAAAAAAAAAAACCCACAGTTATCAAAACACACAAAACTAATATATTGCTTAATAAATTACTATACAGCAACCACTCTTAAAGCCACCCCACTAGTCAAGGAAGAGAACATTCCCAGCAACTCAAAAGCTCCAGTCCAATCACAGCCCCCTCTGAAATATTGCATGGTTTCAACCCATTGGGTGGTGGTGGTGGTGGTGGTGGTGGTGGTGGTGGTGGTTGTTTCAGCTGAAATTGTCCCATCTTTGAACACTGAAAGCCTTGTCAGGTGTTGATACAGTTTGCCTCTGTCCTCACCCAAATGTCAACTTGAATTGTATCTCCCAGAATTCCCACATGTTGTGGGAGGGACCCAGGGGGAGATAATAGAATCATGCGGACCAGTTTTTCCTGTGCTATTCTCATGATAGTGAATAAGTCTCACAAGGTCTGATGGGTTTATCAGGGTCTTCTGCTTTTGCTTCTTCCTCATTTTCTCTTGCCTCCGACATGTAAGAAGTATCTTTCGCCTCCCGCCATGATTCTGAGGCCTCCCCAGCCATGTGGAACTGTAAGTCAAATTAAACCTACTTTTCTTCTCAGTCTCAGGTATGTCTTTATCAGCAGCATGAAAACAGACTCATTGTCCCCTAGGTCATTTATTGTGACCCTCATAGTCTTTGATTGTTTCCTTGCCATCTGTGATAGCAGGATGTTTAAGACTCTTCTTGTACATTCTCTGCCCTAAATTACCCATTTCTCCAAGAAACCCTGGTTTTCTTGGGAAGTGGAATTTTAAGATCCCATTTTGGTTGTTAGCAATGCTCATTGCTACTCAGTTGGTCACTGTTTCTAGTACTCTTTGGAGAACAGAGCATATATATTTCCCCCCACTTTCTTTTTATACTTGTACCATATCTGTGTTGTCAGAATATATATTCATTACATACTATCCTCCCTTCCTTTTAACCTTCATTTAGTCTGTCAGCTACTAGCAACTGTATATTTAATGCTCACTACTGGCCCATTCATACTGGTTTCTTTAATCATTCTGATTGTCTGAAACTCAGTCTTCAGTAGATTTCTCGGGATGGGATCACAAGAACAGTATTCCCTGAGTTCCTGCATGTTCATAATTGTTTATCTGTCATCTTTGGCCTTGAAAGTCAGTTTTGCTAGATATATAGTCCTTGGCTTGCATTTTCTTTCTTTGAGTATCTTAAATATGTTCTCCTATTTTTTTCTAATATTAAACATTGCTGTTAAAACCACTGATAAAATCTAATTTTCTTTCCTTGTAAGTCACTTGCTCTTTTTCTAGATCCCAAAGGTTTGCTTGTTGTCTAAATATTTTCCCAGAATATGTCTGGCGTTCATTGTTCTGGGTCAGTATTCTCAAGTGTGCACTATGTTCTTTTAGTGTGTAGTTTCATGTCTCTTTATTTTAGTAATTATAATATTTAGTAATTGAATGTTATGAGTATTAATTTTTATTCTCTCACTTGGTTTTCTGTTAGGGACTACTATTACCCTTATGTGGCATCTTGCTTATCTGTCTTCAACATTTGTTTCTTTTGAATTGTTTAAATCTCTTCATTTCTTTTTGCTATTTTTTCTTCCCATTTTTCTTGTGTCATTATCTATTGTGTTAATCTACTCTTGTGTTTCTGTTACAGGTTGAGTGTCCCTTATGTGAAATACTTGGGACCAAAGTGTTTCAGACTTCAGATTTTTTCCAATTTGGAATATTGCTGATTGAGCATCCCAAATCCCAAATCCAAAGTAATCCAGTGAGCATTTCCTTTGAGCATTATGTTTGCACTCAAAAAGTTGCAGATTTTAGAGCATTTCTGATCTCAGGTTTTCAGATTTTTTTTTTTTTTTTCTGAGAGGGAGTCTCTGTCACCCAGGCTGGAGTGCAGTGGTGAGATTCTCGGCTCACTGCAAGCTCTGCCTCCCGGGTTCAAGCGATTCTCCTGCCTCGGCCTCCTGAGTAGCTGGGACTACAGGCACCCGCCACCACACCCAGGTAATTTTTGTATTTTTAGTAGAAATGGGTTTCAGTGTTGCCCGGGCTGGTCTCAAACTCCTGAGCTCAGGCAATCCGCCCACCTCGGCCTCCCAAAGTGCTGGGATTACAGGTGTGAGCCACCGCACTGTCCAGGTTTTCAGATTTGGGATGCTCAACCTGTAGTTTAGTCTTCATTTCCAAAGTGATGTTTTCTTTTATTTCTAATTCTGTATTGAGTTCTGTCATGTCATTTATAAGCTTTGCTAGTTTTTCATGTATGTGCCTCTTTCGTGTTTGCATAACTTTTAAATCTTTTTCGCGTATTTTGAAATTCTGGTGTATTGTTGGCATGCTTTCACTCTCTGTATGACATTGTATTTCTAATTTCTAACAGCTCTTTTTATTCTCTTAATCTTTTTTCTGTAGCAATCTCTTCTCATGTCTTAGCTATACTATCTTATTTTCTAACGATAGTAAGGACAAGCTGTTTAACTTAAAGTTTTCTTCTACCTGCCTAATTTATTTCTTCTAATTTCCCTACCTGCTCCTCTGCCCCCATTTGAGGCCTTTATTATTTTAGAGACTTTTCTCAAATTTATGGTAGTTCTTGGCTTACTGGCTCATGTTTAAGAGTTGGAAAATTAAAAAAAAAAAAAAAACTAATTAGAAAGTCTGTGTGCCATGAGTAGGGCTTATTCAATTCCAGACTTTACCATAAAGTAATCTGGTTGAGCTGTTTCTTTGTGGAACCCCCTGTGTTAGGATCTTTTCATTAATTTTTTTTCTTTGAGGCTGATCGGATTCTTCAGAGAAGATTCTTTCAGCCCCCTACCCTGGAGGGTATAAGCTTACTCATAGTGCTCTGGCAGCCAAATGAAGAGAGGAACATTGTTTCTCTAAATATATGAATTTTTGTTTAGGAAGGCTGCCTCAGTTGATGGTTTCCCCTAGTCCAGATTTCTATTTTTACTCCCTCCAGAGAACAATCTCTGGTAGCATATCTGAGAGGAGAAGGGACAGCCGCTGAGCTATATGGAAGGAATGAGGAGATCTGGAAGGTTCTAAGAATCTCATCTATTTTTTCAACAATTCCTCTTGTTTTTAGATTGATTCAACTTCCAGATATACCTGTTGTTTTCAGTTGCCATACTTTTTGTGGGTTCTGCAGTAGAAATTAAACATTTGCATGGAACTTTCCTGGGCCTACTAAGTCAGTTATCATTTGTCTTTCTGCTTTCTAAAATGCCTTGCTATTGTCTCTTCTCATTCTCTTTGTCTTAACGGTGTGTGTGAGTGTGTGTGTGTGTGTGTGTGTATGCGTGTGTGTGTGTAGCCCTCCTCTATTGTTCAGTGTTGTTTCAGGAGAGAGAGGAGAGGCTAATGGCATGCATTCATTTCACCCCAGTACTTGGACCTGTATTGTACAGTGAATGTCAGGGAAGTTACTCTTCAGGTCTCCTTCTGATTCTTTTGGAGCAAATGATAAAACGTTTTTCTGTTGACACATATTGGGCAACATAGCAAGACCATGTCTCTATTTAAAAGAAAAGAAAAGAAATGGCTGGGCACGGTGGCTCACACCTGTAATCCCAGTACTTTGGGAGGCTGAGGCGGGCCTGTCACAAGGTCAGGAGGTCGAGACCATCATGGTCAACATGGTGAAACCCCATCTCTACTAAAAGTACAAAAAGTAGCTGGGCATGGTGGTGGGCACCTGTAATTCCAGCTACTTAGGAGGCTGAGTCTGGAGAATCGCTTGAACCCGGGAGGCAGAGGTTGCAGTGAGCCAAGATTGCACCGTAGCACTCTAGCCTGGTGACACAGTGAGACTCTGTCTCAAAAAAAGTAAAAATAAAAAAAGAGAAACGATCATAAAGGAATCCTATGAACAATTATATGCCAGTAAATTAAACCATTTAGATCAAATGGACAAATTACTGGAAAGGAATGCTGTAGAACATGAAGAAATGTTCACCCGGTAGTTGATATTGTGATCCATTTGCAGGCTGTTACCTTCTCCTCTCAAGGATGCAGTGGAAGTGTCAACCTGGAGAAGATGCTATACAATGCAAGAGGTGAACTCTGCCCTTAGTAAAATCCAGCTGGTGGGATATTCTCAGAAAATTGTGAGTATTCATATTACATTTCATTCATTTATGAATGCTTTCCGTTCATATTGTTATTGTTTCGAAGGATCCTATAGTTACGTTTTTAAAGCCATTCCGTTACTGAGGATCCAGAGCCTCTGTTCTTTCCTCCGTTCCAGTCAGGAACAAGGGCCTAACAGCTAACTGAAAATGAAAAAGGAAAGCCAAAGCGTATCTTTGGTCTGTATGGTAATATTTCATCTCTCCCTTTTAATGTGTGAACCTTGAGTGCCTAGGGATATGGAAGAGGGCTGGAGCTCTCAGGTGACAAGTACAGATTATAGGATTGCTTTCTATATTTGGAGCATGATGATCTCCATCATCTTTCTGTTTTCCTTAAACTTTGTAGTTTACTTTATTGATTGATTGACTGAGACAAGGTCCCACTTTGTTACCCAGGCTAGAGTACAGTGGCACAAACACGGGTCACTGCAGCCTCGACTTCCCAGGCTCATGTGATCCTCCTGCCCCAAGTAGCTACTTGGGGACTACAGGCATGTGCCACCATGCCCAGCTAATTTTTGTATTTTTTTGTAGAGACAGGGTTTCGCCACGTTGCCCAGGCTGGGTTCATGCGTTCCACCGGCCTCAGCCTCCCAAAGTGCTGGGATTACAGGCGTGAGCCATTGCACCCAGTCTCTGGTTTACTTTAAAATATTTTTTGTTTTTAAACTGAGGATATTTCTGTTGTTTTTCCCTCCAGAATTACCTTGTGTGACTGTCACTGTAAGCTCATTGCACATTCTTACTGTGGTTCTCTTTTAGGAGCTTTTTGGTGCAGTCCAGGTGACGCCTCTGAGCTCTGGCTATGCCCTTGGGAGCTCCAACTGGATCATCCAGTCTCATTACGAGAAAGTGTCTTATGTCTCTGGATCCTCCTTGCTTACCACACACCCCCAGGTATTTCCAAATTCTCTTCTTGCAACTCAGCTTTTTGGTTACTTAACTCAAATTCGGAATGTGTCCAGGGTACCATCAGCCATTTTTAAATCTTCCCAATTTGGTTTTCTACAGATACTCTCTAGCCAAGGTAGACTATTTGAATCCCAACATTTTGGCCTACAGGTTTCTCTGAAATAGTCCTGCTACCTTGAGGGTCACCACTAGGGTTCTGAAATTCCCACAGTCCTTCCAAAGACCATAGCCTAATGTGGGACACAGATAGTTATGCATTTACTCAGCAAATATTAGCTGTTTAAAATCCTTCCCAAGGGCCAAGTGTCAAGTGTCATGCACACATCTGGGTATTGGGGATTCAGTGGTGACCAATGGGCAAAGCCACTCTTGTGGATCTTATGTTGTAGGGGAGTTGATGATGTTGGGGAGAGGATGGTGTATAGTAGGTAAAAAAATAAAGTGTATGGCCATTTCCAATTGTGATACAAGTACTGAAAACAGTAAATCAGGAGGATTTTCAGAGCGCTGGAGACTGGTTTAGATTGGGTGCCCAGGAAAACCGGTGGGAAGATCTCACTTAACTGAGATCTGGAGAGGTAAGCCATGTTGGCTGGGCGCAGTGGCTCACACCTGTAATCCCATCACTTCGAGAGGCCAAAATGGGATAACTGCTTGAGCCTAGGAGTTCAGGACCAGCTTGGGCAATATGGCAAAACCCTGTCTCTACAAAAAATACAAAAATTAGCCGGGTGTGGTGGCACATGCTGTGGGCCCAGCTACTCAAGAGGCTAAGGCAGAAGGATCGCTTGAGCCTGGGAAGCAGAGGTTGCAGTCAGCCAAGATTGCGCCACTGCACTCCAGTGTGGGTAACAGAGTGAGATTCTGCCTCAAGAAAAAAAAAAAAAAGTCTGGGTATGGTGACTCATGCCTGTAAATCCCAGCATTTTGGGAGGCCAAGGCAAGTGGATCCCTTTTTTTTTTTTTTTTTTTTTTTTTTTTTTGAGACGGAGTCTTGCTCTGTTGCCCAGGCTGGAGTGCAGTGGCCGGATCTCAGCTCACTGCAAGCTCCGCCTCCGGGGTTTACGCCATTCTCCTGCCTCAGCCTCCCAAGTAGCTGGGACTACAGGCGCCCGCCACTGCTCCCGGCTAGTTTTTTGTATTTTTTAGTAGAGACGGGGTTTCACCGCGTTAGCCAGGATGGTCTCGATCTCCTGACCTCGTGATCCGCCCGTCTCGGCCTCCCAAAGTGCTGGGATTACAGGCTTGAGCCACCACGCCCGGCCAGGTGGATCACTTTAGGTCAGAAGTTCGAGACCAACCTGGCCAACATGGTGAAACCCCGTCTCTACTAAAAATACAAAAATTAGGTGTGATGGTGTACACCTGTGATCCCAGCTACTTGGGAAGCTGAGGCAGGAGAACCACTTGAACTCGGGAGACAGAGGTTGCAGTGAGCCGAGATCATGTGCTGCACCCAGCCTGGGTGACAGAGCAAGACTCCGTCTCAAAAAAAAAAAAAAAAGAAAGAGAAAGAAAGAGAAAGAAAAACAGAAAAATCAGCCACGTGAAGCTGTGAGTGTTTGTATTATAAAGGGATGGCCAGTGAAGGGCCCCTAAAGCAAGAATAATTTGAAGGGCAGAGAAGGCTATTGTGGTCTCAGCATGGTGGTCAGCAGTGAGGTCCAAGAGAGTGGCAGACACCATGTCATGTAGTGCTAGCAGGCTGTGAGGAAGAATTTTGGTTTTATTTTAATATGGAGAGGGAAACTATTGGAAGGTTTTAAGTTACTCATTCCAGTCATATTTAGCAAGAAGCCCAGCACATATAAACATTGTTATGAATGTGATACTTACTCCTTTTTAGGTATTTCTAAATAATTTACTGTTCATTTCCTGAATGTTGGTTATTTCTATGTTTGTAATAGGGAGTGGGGGACATTAGTTAGCTGTTGAATGGGTATATAGATACATGAGGTAACTTGTGGGAGTCCATATTCCATTTATTTATCTACATCCATTTACAGAGAGAGAGAAGGTCTTGTTCTGTCACTCAGACTGGAGTACAGTGGTGCAATCATAGCTCACTGGTAATCTCAAACTCCTGGGCTCAAGCAATCCTCCCAAGTAGCTAGGACTATAGCCACCACACCTGGCCTATTTATTTTTTAACATAACCTCAAATTTTTATTGTCTTCATAATACAAACAAAAATGAAGCTAAGAACTGGATCACTTGGCGTTTTCTCCTTTTATCCCTTCCCAGTTAAAAATGCTTATGTCTCTTAGTAGCCAGCATTCTCTTAGATCTGCAGTTGGGCCCAACACTTAAGCTTTAGCACAATCTCATTTGTAGTTTTAGCCTTTTTCCAGAAGATTGGCTTGGTCTGCCTGCGTAGCCACTCCTTCCTGCCATTAAGCCACTTTCCCTCAGCATACAGATCATCTTTGCCCTTCTTGTACCGTGTCACTCTGTGGAGTTGGTGCTGACCATGCTTCTTACACAAAGTTCAGTGGGTGTGAAGAACATTCACCATGTTTGTGAGAGCACTATCCATAAGTAAAGAAATTATTCATCTTTTAATTACAAATAAAAATTGTATATATTTATGGTATGCATGATGTGTTGATATATGCATGCATTATGGAATGGCTAAGTCAATAATTAACAGACCCATTTTAATATGGGGAGAACCATGCTGTGCTCTAGTGGGGAATAATAGGATGTCTGAGCTGCCATTCTGCATTATTTCTTTATACTTTCTTTTATAGCCAAGTTTCATCTCAGGGTCTAGAGGGGACGCTGCTATTTTTTCCTCCATCTAGCGGAATTCTGGGCCCTTCCTGGTTATTGAAATCAAAAGCCCATCAATGTCACCATCATCTGGTTCATTGAATCAAAATTTTTTATTGGCATCTTCTATCATTCCTGATGTGTTCTTCCATAAAAGACAGAAAGATGACTTGGCTGCCAACTCTTCTGATTTGTCCTGCTTAGTTCAAAGCCTTTACAGTACTATTGATGTAATTTCCAGTAAATTATTCTTACAAGATTCATAAATTTAAAGGGAAAATAATGTCTTGAAAGTAATGAGCAACATACCTAAGTAATTAATTTTAATTTCTAGCTGGCGACCTGTGTTATATGTAAAAAAGAAAAAAATTAGATTTTTCTTTACCCACGTAATTGGATTCTGTGTTGAATTGGCAGGGATGAGAAAAGTTTTGGTTTGAAAAACTTGATAGTCTAATTGCACAGTTAGCAAACTGTGGCCTGGGCACTAAATGTGGCATGCCACCTATTTTGGCATATAATATTTTGTTGAAGTACAGCCACACCCGTTTGTTTATGGAATGTTTATGGCTCAATATACACCATAGGCTGGACAGGGTGGCTCATGCCTGTAATCACAGCATTTTGGGAGGCCAAGGCAAGATGATTGAGCCCAGGAATTCAAGACCAGCCTGGGCAACATGGCAAGACCCCATGTCTACAAAAAGTTTAAAAAAAAGAAGCCAGGTGTGGTGGCATACGCCTGTGGTCCCAGTTACTCAGGAGGCTGAGGCATGAGGATTGCTTCAGCCTGGGAGGTTGAGGCTGCAGTGAGCCATGTTTGTGCCATTTGTACTCTAGCCTGGGCAACAGAGCAAGACCCTGTCTCAAAAAAAAAAAAAAAAAGGTTATAATGGCAGAATTCTACTTTAAATGTTACAGCAAACTTTGCTAACCCCTGGTCTATTTGAGTAGAATCTTTACTAACTAGGAAGAATATCACAGGCTGCTGTATAATTCTGATAAACATAGAGAAATAAGGCTTTGGATTAAGCCTGAAGGCAGTAAGAATGGAGAAAAGAGTTAAAACATTGGCAGGTCTTTAATGCAAGAAATATTTGTTGAATGCCCACTGTCTTCAGAAAAGAAAGAATAAAAATTAGAGATCTTATGTCTGCATGACATTGAGAATGGTGTTAATGGCCACTAATCCAGTTAACAAGGAAGAGTTGGCAGAGGACCATTTGTTGCAGAAGAGGGTAGTAGGTTTCATGAATGTGAATTTGAGAACATTAGACAAATGGAAATATGGGGCTGGAACTGGGATGTGGAGGCAAGTCTGGAGACAGACTGGAGAGTTGTCACATTTTAAAAATCTAACTGAGCATGATTGCTCATGCCTGTAATCCCAACACTTTGGGAGACCAAGGCAGGCAGATCACAAGGTCAGGAGTTCAAGACCAGCCTGGCCAACATGGTGAAACCCCATCTCTACTAAAAATACAAAAATTAACCGGTGTGGTGGTGTTCACCTGTAATCCCAACTACTCAGAAGCCTGAAGCAGGAGAATCGCTTGAATCTGGGAGGTGGAGGTTGCAGTGAGCGGAGATCGCACTATTGCACTGCAGCCTGGGCAACAGAGAGAGACTCTGTCTCAAAAAAAAAAAAAAAAAATCTAGATAAAGGGCCGAGGGCCAAAGACTGAGCCATAGGGAACTTTTACCAACAGACAGTGGAAGGAAGAAAAAATAGTCTTGTGTAAGAATGGTTGGAGAGTTAAAGGAAAATTGAGGCCAAAGAGTGCAGCCTCCCAAATGGAGAAGGAAGAGAACTAGCCTTTACTGAGCATGAGGTCTCAGTATTAATTTTTTAATGGATTTGATATTTAGCAACCATGCTGAATTCTCTTAATTCTGATATTTATCTATTGATATTATCTTGCAATGAAGTAACAGTTTTCTCACCTCTCTTCTAACCTTTGTATCTTTTATTTTTCTTATCTTGTGACTGAGCCCTATAATACTGTATTGCACAGCAGTGATGATAGTGGACATCCTTGTCTTGTATAAGACTGTAAAAGGAAAGCTTTTGTAGTTTCTTCGTTAAACATCGTGCTTACTACACCATTTTTATTTGTCAAGCTAAGGAGTGTCTCCTTTATCCCCAGCTTTCTGATTTTTTAAAAGTCAGATATAAGTGTTATACTTTATCAAATGCTATTGAGCATGTGCGA